TAAAATCAAGCTCAAAAGTTTTGCCAATTATATAAAACAAAACTTGAAACTTCCAAAACATAACATGCATGTATTGTCATGAACTCCAACCTTCCAAAACATGATCAATTAAGGTCAAATGGTAAGAAATGTGATAAATTCTTAAAACATAACCAAGGTAAGGTCATGCATGTGAAAATTCTTGAGTAAACATCTTCAAAAGACCATGACATGTGCATGCATGCATGATTTGATCCTAATTCTACCTCTTCAACCTAATTCTTGCATCGTTTAGCTCAATTCTCTTAAATTCATGCATTAACCAACTCAAGTACAAAGCTAAAGGTTTGAATTCTTACCTTAGGAGTTCAATTGGGCTCTAAATGACTAGTTCTTAGAGTCTCGAAGCTAATTCCTTCAAATTCCCTTCAATTCCTTTGCTTGATCTCAATGTCTCTCTCTCTCTCTCTCTCTCTCTCTCTCAGTTTTAGTCTCAAAGATGATGAAATGAGGGTACAGTGGAATAGTCTAGCATCAAATTAGCTTTATATAGGCTTAATGAGTTCAATTGGGCTCTAAATGACTAGTTCTTAGAGTCTCGAAGCTAATTCCTTCAAATTCCCTTCAATTCCTTTGCTTGATCTCAATGTCTCTCTCTCTCTCTCTCTCTCTCTCTCTCAGTTTTAGTCTCAAAGATGATGAAATGAGGGTATAGTGGAATAGTCCAGCATCAAATTAGCTTTATATAGGCCTAATTAGCGTTAGTTAATTAAGTTGAGTTAAGACTAATCCATTGGTACTATTTTATTCTAATTATTTGGTTCTAAATTGATTTTCAATTGAACATACCATAATGTTCTAAAAATTCCAAATAACACATAAACCGAGTCAATTTCGGATCGGATGTCGATAAGGCCTTCAATTCGCATATCGAATCAGAAATACAAGCAAATATTTCTACATCAAACAGATATAAGCACATATAACACAATGCACATGCAATTAATGTATAATTCTCTCTTAATTACTTATTTGGCATTCTTAATCAAAGGTTATAAACTAATTACAGGTCGAGGTTGTTACACCTCTCCTCTCCTTTCCCTAATATTTCAGTCTTATCTCTTGAACCCTAGGTTTAGGATTGTGTTGAGCCCTTCTGTTTTGGACATTAAGGCTACAACAAAATCATCATATCGTCTAAAGGATGAAAATGATTTCCCACCTTTGTCAAATTGATTATGGTAGGAAGGGAAGGTCGCCCGTGTTTGTGGCACTAACAGTTGCAACAGTAATCAATTTAATCATGTTTGTTAGAGGTTTGATTGTTTTGAGTGGAAATAGCTCAAAGGGACTAGGGATGGTAATAAAGCGGGTAGAGTGGGTTTTACCCTCCTAATAATTTAAATAAACAAAGAAACATATTCGCGGCTTAGAAGCAAATAAGAATTGAGGGGGAAAATTAGATTTTACTAAACCAAACCCCATATGCAACAGACCCCATGCTAGATATGTGAAAAACATAGTAGCTTTAATTAATATTTTCTTGTTGTGAGATTCTTTTAATAATTCGAAAGTTATTTCTTTCTTTTAATTGATTTTTCCTTTCCCTTTTACTTTCTTTCTTCTTAATTTTGTTCGTTTGTTTTTGTTTTCGTTTTTATTAAACTAAAACAGTACTAGATCTAAAGAAGGAAAAAAAAAAAAAAACTAAAGCAATACTCGATCTAAAGAAGAAGCAAAAACTAAAACAATACAGTTTTTTTTTTAAAATTATAATTTTTAGATTGTATTTGGTTCATGAATTTGAGGAGAGATTTGAAGAAAAAAAAAAGAATCTATAAAATCTATCCAAATCTATCTTCAAATCTATAAGCCAAACACAATTTTAATCAATTTTTCTCTTTCACTCACTTTTTTCAATTCTTAATTTTTTGCTTTTGTTTTGTTTATATTATGGAGATATACCTAAACCAAAGCAATGAAGCAAAGCAAATGGGGTGGGGGTGGTAGAAAAAAATTGGTTTCCATTGGGGATTAGGGATAGGGATGGGAAAAAAATAAAAATCGGGGATTGGGGACAAGAGATAGGGATAGGGATGGGGATGGAGAGAGTAAAACCCAGTCCATCCACCCCATTGTGACCTCTAGTCCCTCTGAGGATTCAAATAAAAACTATAAAAAAATTATAGAGTTGAAACTTGGAAATTAGGCTGCAGAGAAGGAACTTTCTCAATTGTTGTAGGCTCAGAGTGCTCTCAAGACAGCTATGAATCTCTATGATTTAGGCAACTTTACAAAATCATTGGATTATGTTGTCAAAATTGTACTTGGGCTTTAAAAGGAGATAGAAATACAAAAAAATTTCATGTTATGGCTACTTCGCATAACAACAAGAATGCCTTATGTTCAATTAATATGCATGGAGTTGTCTTGGAAGATCCTGTGGATATAAGGTCTGCAGTGTTGGATCATTTTAGGAATCATTTTGCGGAAAGTTGGTCTAGAAGGCCAAGTTTATCTGGCCCTTTCAACTCCATTGAGGGGGCAAAGGTTAGGGAAGTACTTGAAGTTGAATTTTCAGAAGTGGAAATATCTAGAGCCTTGAAGCAGTGTGAAGGTAATAAAGCACCTGGTCCGGATGGTTTTAATTTGATGTTATTTAAGAAGTGTTGGCAAATTGTTAAGGGGGATGTGATTCATTTCATGAAAGATTTCCATAAGAACTCTAAGTTGGTTCATGGAATTAATAGTTCCTTTGTTGCTTTGATTCCAAAATCTGATAATCCTACTTGTCTTAATGACTATCGGCCTATTAGCCTTCTAGGCTCTTTGTATAAAATTCTTGCAAAGTTTTTGTCGAATAGGATCAAGCATGTTATGCCAAAGATCATTAGTGATTCTCAATCAGCCTTCATTGGAAGTAGAAGTATTTTGGATGGTGTGTTGATTGCAAATGAAATAGTTGACGGTTGGAAGAAGAAGCATAGGAAAGGCATAGTATTAAAACTTGACTTTGAGAAAGCCTATGATTCAATTAACTGGGAGTTCCTTTGCTCTATGCTTGCAAATTTTGGATTTGGTGCCAAATGGATCAGTTGGATGAGAGAGTGTGTGTTTTCAGCTAGAGTTTCTGTTTTAGTCAATGGATCACCAACATCTGAGTTCACACCTCAAAGGGGTCTTAGACAAGGTGATCCATTATCACCTTTTCTTTTCAATATTGTAGCTGAAGGTCTGAATATTCTTTTGGGTAGAGCTCTATAGCTGGGATTGATTTGAGGGGTTGTGGTTGGCTCAAACGATCTTGTGATCGCCCATCTTCAATTTGCAGATGATACAATTCTATTTTGTGAGGCAGAATGAGAGGAGATTGGGAATGTTAAGAGAATTCTAAAATGTTTTGAAATGCTTTCAAGGTTAAAAATTAATTACCATAAGAGTGTGGTGTGTGGGATTGGCATTAGTGAGGACCTCACTAAAGGATTTGTTGACAAACTGAACTGCTTACATCAAAATCTGCCTTTAAAATACTTAGGGATGCCCTTGGGGGATTGTCTAAAGAGAAGAAGGTTTTGGCAACCTGTGATTGATAAGTGCAAACAAAAGCTAGCCTCTTGGAAGAGGAGATTCCTATCCTTTGCAGGGAGATTAACATTGATAAAGTCAGTGTTGTCAAGTTTACCAATCTACTATCTATCTTTGTTCAGGATGCCAAAAGGGGTTGCAAAAGAAATTGTCAGAGTTCAGTCTAGATTCTTATGGAGAGGTGATGAACTTAGAAGAAAGATTCATTTGGTAAAGTGGGAGGAGATTTCAAAAAGTAAAAGTCAAGGGGGATTAGAAGTTAAAAGGATCAAGCTTATGAATGATTGCCTTCTCTTAAAATGGTGGTGGAGGTTTGGGGCTGAAGAAAAAACACTATAGAAGCAAGTGATATGCAACAAGTATAATGAGGTTGGGAGGGGATGATGGCATGAACCTGTGGAACATCTCAGGTGCTCTTTGATATGGAAAGATATATTGGGGCTTACTTCAAGTAGGCCTGATCTGGTGGAGTTTTTTAAAAAACAACATAGCTCTAGTTATTGGAGATGGTAAGAGAACACTTTTCTGAAAGGATAAATGGTTTGGAAATGTTTGTTTGAAAGATGTATTCCCTAGATTATATTCTCTATTAGTGGGAAAAGATGAATCTGTGGACTTGGTATATAGCAGAAGAACTGGTGCTGAGGAGTGGAATCTGAACTTCAGAAGGTTTCTGTTTCAGTGGGAGGTGGAGGAGTTGAGGAGGATGACTTCAATGTTACTTAATGCTCCGGCTCTCAAGGAAGGTAGGAGAGATATATTGAGTTGGACTACAGATGCATTAGGGTCTTTCTCAGTTGCTTCAGCTTATAGATGGAGTCAATTGAGTCATGGAGCTAATATCAAGACTGCTGGTTTCATTTGGAAGAATATATCCTCCTAAGGTTCAATTTTTTGGTTGGTTAGCATGGAAAGGGAGAGTTAAGTCTTCTAGCTATCTACAAAAAATTGGTGTTCTAAATGTTTTTGTCATTGAAGAATTTTCTTTTTTGCTCATTTTAGTGACGAATTTTTTTGTCACCTTAATCCATATCATTGGTGAGGAAAACTTTCGTCATTAAAATCTATTTAGTGACGAAATATTTCGTCGCTAAAAATAATTAAAATAAAATATTATTTAGTTTTGGCGACGAAATTGATGTTATAGAGGACGAAAAATTCAACATTCAGCGACGAAACATTTTGTCACCAAAAATAAAAAATAGGCGACGAAATTGTTTTTCGTCACCAGGTACTTTCAGCGACGATGTATAGGCCACGAATGTGGTGACAAATTTTTTTCGTCGCTGATCACTTTAGTGACGAAAATTTGATGTTTGGAGGCAAAATTTTTCTGTCACCAAAGGCCTTTTTTGTTGTAGTGCTTGATCATCCGTGAATTGTATTTTTTGTAATGGGGAGGTGGAAAGTGGTAACCATGTGTTGTTGCTTTGTGCTTTTACCTGGAGGATCTAGTCTAATATTATCAAATGGTGGGGTATTTGTTAGGTAACTCCTGGGTCTGTGAGTAGTTTACTAAATTGGTGACAGGGCTGGAGGTTATCAAAGCAGCTGAAGTTAATCTGGAATGTTGTTCCTCTACCTATGCTCTGGTCCATATGGAAGCAGAGGAATGATTGTATTTTCAAAAGTGCTCAGGCTGATGTTGTGAGTTTGTGTGATTCCATCAAGGTGAGGATTGCATTGTGGATCAGGTCCTCTTGCCCAGCTGTGGCTTACTCAGTCAATGAGATTGTTCATCATCTTCAACAGGTTAGAGTCTGCCTTGGCTGAGGTTTCTGTCTAGCTAAATCATGGGTGGTGGCCTGTGTAGGGTGGACCTTGAAGAGTGTGGGCTATGATTTTGGGAGGTTGTGTTATGCTATGGCTGGATGATTTGTTCTGCTGTTGAATTTGTTTTGGACTGCTATTCTCAGTAGTGGAATGCTCTGCTACTGTGGTTAAATTGGATATGTTAGGGCTATCTACTGCTGTTGGACTGTTATGCACTGATATATCTGCCTGTGATCTGTTCTGCTATGAACTGATATGGACTGCTGAATTGTTGATCTGTCCTGATATGTTGTGGGTAAATATGATATGTTTGGTTTTTTTCCCTTGGATGTGTATGTTGTTGTTGTTGACGGTTGCAGGTGTTGTTGCTTGTGTCCATCCTGTAATAGATCAGATATTAAAGGGTCTTGTCTCTAAGTGAAAATTTGGGCTGCTGTTGGGGGTTTGGCTAGAAAGGTATGGAGGGGTTGTTTCCCTTGGATGTGTTCTGTTTGGATTGATCTGAGTTAAGGCTTACGTATGCACTATGAAGTGGTCTTGGCTAAGGTTCAAATGGATGCAAAGGACAAAACTTCTAAGGATGAAGGCATGAAGCTACTACTATCATAGACATCACAAGCTTTGCCACTGCTGCAGTTCTCTGGAGCGTGGTCTGCATTGAGGTCTGTGGGCTTACAAGGAGGTGTGCTGCTAGCTCTTGCTCTTGATCTTTGTTGTTAAAGCCTTAAGCCTTATACTGTTCTGCTATGATCTTCTGTTAGCTGCCCTGTTGCTGGAGCTACTTGTGTGTTGCATGGTGTTTGCTGCTGTGAAGTGGGGTATTGGCTGACTCAGGGCTGTGGAACATTGGGATGTTGTTCTGGTCTGGTGCTTTGCTTATGGGTGATTCTACAAGTGAATTTTGTGGACTGATTTGTGTGGGAATGAATTGTGTGGAATGAACTGTGGGATTGAATTGGGGGTTGAGTTTATGGGGTCTTCTTTTTACTTTCTTGCTGGGCATGGTTTCTCATCATCCTTTTGTGGTTGAGCTTGCAGATGATGGAGCTTTCTTCTCGGTGCCAATCTAGTTGGGATTGCGTTTGTTAGCTATGATGTGCTTCTTCTCTTCCACCTCTTTATTGATGTTCTTCTCATCTGTAAATATATGTTTTCATCATCAATAAAGTTCTTTTTTGCTGATCAAAATAAAAATAAAAATAAATTGTACTTGTATTTTCTCCTACGTGTTAAAGGGTATTGACTATCATCATGATCATCTTCATTTTCATAAATATTAGCTATTGTAAGTTTGCAATGCATAGAATACCTTATTTGATGCTCTTCTTCTTGTTCTTCTTCTTCCTCTTCTTCTTCATGCCAAACTCCTTATGGTGAAGTTATTGTTAGCTACCAAAGGTTATTCAGATGCCATCATTGAGATAGGATATATTCTTAAAGAATATGAGAATAATCTGGAGGCATTACTGCTACGTGGTCATGCCTACTACTATTTAGCTGATCATCATGTTGCTTTAAGGTTTGTGTGACCAAAATTTAAGCTAAACAACCCCTCCCCCTTCCAAAAAAAAGAAAAAATAAACATAGGAAGAAAATAAGAAAGCAAAGTGATAAAACAGACTAAAATCTTGTTGAAATTCTTTCATTGGATTTGTTATACTTTGTCCAAAGTATCCTTACATTCATATGGAAATTTTTAAATGTCTTCCATAGGCATTTCCAGAAAGGTCTTCATTTGGACCCGAGCATCATGAACTGAAGAAAGCTTAATTTGGATTGAAAAATTTACTCAAGGAGACTAAAAACCTAAGCCCGATAAGCTTTTCTGGAGCTTAATAATGGCCATTTCCATGTCATCTTATGTTGTTTTGTAACCTTTTGTTACCCTTAAACGTCGATTTTTTTATGCAGCCTGAAAAAAACAAAAATAAGGGTCAGCCGCGTCTTGCAGTGGAAGACTACAAAGCGGCCCTTGCACTGGACCCAAATCATCTGGCACACAACATTCACCTTCATCTTGGTTTGTGAAAGGTCATGTTTAAGCTTGGTAGGGGAAAAGATGTTGTAAGTAATTGCACAGAAGTACTTGACATTGATGAGGAGCTTGTTGAAGCTTTAATTCAGGTTATCTTTCGTTTCATTTTGCCCCCTAGTTTTCCAAAAGCATTTGCCTGAATTGTTTAATTAAAGATTACTTAACTATGGATAATGCTTTTTAGAGGGGTGAAGCGAGACTTTTGATAGAAGATTGGAAGGGAGTTGTGGCAGATCTAAAGCCTACAGTTGAAAAATCACCTCAGGTTTGTCTTAAAATTTTTCCCAATTATATTATAAGCGCTCTTAAACTTAATTGAGGATATGTCTGCCAATGGAACCAATTGGAGGAAATGGATCTATGTAGCCAACCTGAAGTAATTAGAACAAGGCTTGTTGAGTTGAGTTTCACATTTTGGGCCTAAATAGATTTTTTTTCCCTTCAAAATCCATATGTCTGAAATTTTATATAGGTAACAATATTTGATATGCTAATACTACAGGATACTCATATTCACGAAGCACTGATGAGAGCAGAGAGATCGTTGAAGTTGAGCGAAAGAAAGGACTGGCACAAGATTTTGGGAGCTTCAAAGACTGAGTTTTGAAACCTTTAGCTTGTTACGTATTATTTGGGGGAGCATAACCAAAGGATTTTTTATGGAAAGGAAGCTCCAATCTTGGATGGAAAAGTAAAATATTATTCCTTTTGTATAGTTCATTCTCGAATGTAGTTGACCCTTGCTTGAAACAATTCTTGGACTTTGACTTTTGAGTAAAGACTTAGGTATGGTAAAGTGATGCTTTTGTTTGCCTTAAAGTCTATACGGCCTCTTGGTGCCTTTCTTTCATATAATAATACTTGATACTTGATCAATAAAAGAGGAACTTTTTCAAGTCAAGGAGATGCAAATCCAGCTGCTTGTTTACTATCACATGAAGTTAATATTCTGGAAGTAGCATCTATTATGCTGATAGGGAATTGAACCTGTTTGCTAAGTACATGTTAAAGACAGTAATTAGACTTGTATATATTAAAGACAGCAATTTATTTTCAGTTCGTCCCATTTAATACTCCCATGTGGGTGATTTAATGGTTGCTCTGTCCCAAAGACGTGCACTTCCGGAAATGCTTGTGCTTGTCCTTTGTTTGATCTTTTACAGAGCTTGCTGAGTTTGTAATCTATAGTTTCACTATCACTTCTGAACTTGTAAGCCTTTTACGGTGAATTCTTTTTTAAGGGTTATTTTAAATTGTGTTCCACAGTACAGTCCTATTTTTGTATGTATTTGATAGAAAGGAAAGTTAGATAGGGTATATATAGGATTTAGGTGAGAATGTAAAACAGCTAAGGGAATGAAGGTCCAACTATTATCTGTTACATTGTTTTGGCTTCTCTTATACTAAAGATGCGAAATTAAAGGGGAGCTTTAGTTTGTTATATTGTTTTGCTTTTCATTTTATAAAAACTGAAGAGATAGAGAACTGGCATTGCATGTAATCCTAATTAACTAGGGGTATGATTTGGGGAATACAAGTTTATTGGCCTTGTGATTCATAAAAAAATGTTAGATACTAGCAATCTAGGTGAACTAACATTTCTTGTGATTATTGCCTATTTTGTGAGTGTTAGTGACCGTTACATTTTGTCGAGAAGGGATGCTCTATTTGCATCATCTAAGGTTCGTTTTTTGAGCTTTCTGCCATTGTGGCTTATTTTCACTATTGCCTGGGATTGTAGCAAATGAGTCATTTGTTTTCCCTTCAGTGTAATGCAAATGCCTTTTTGTAAATTCTACTAATTATTCTCCCCCATCTTAAATTGCTTTACATTGAGTGATTGTCTATATATACGGTATTGAAAAGTATGGTTTTGAAACAGGTCTTTTTTTGAATTCCCAACCTTGTAGTTTAGCTTTAAACACACAGATTATTTGTTGTTGCTTAGGTTATATGTAACTTCAACTGGCAGACTCTCTCTCTCTCTCTCTTGCAGACCCTACAAACTCTCTCTACCAGCCCTTACTGTATTTTTCTTTTTCAATTTTGTTACAGGAGTTAGTATTCTAGGGAATGGAATGTATAATGCATGTGTATATATTATATTTCTATTTTTATAATTTTTTTAAACGAAAATGATTTGGAGCCCTAAAAATACCCCCTAATCCCCCTAATTTCCAATTTGGGCAACTTTTTCCTTTTTTTTTTTTTTTTGTATTTTTCTTTTTCAATTTTGTTACAGGAGTTAGTATTCTAGGGAATGGAATGTATAATGCATGTGTATATATTATATTTCTATTTTTATAATTTTTTAAAAATATTTTTGTTCTTATTAAAATTATGGGTTCTGAAATACAAGTGGAGTTGAATATTGTGTAGTGGCTAATGAGATTTAATTGGAAGCAAATCATTTTCATAGATTGTTATAGTTGCAGCCTTTCTGGTTAGTTCCTAAGCTCAATTTATCCATCAATTCAATCTCAAACCCTTCAATTCCCAAACTCAACTAGGTATGGAAAACTGCCCATTTCCTCATTCTCTCTCTTCATCATTTTTCGTTTACTAGGTTTGATAAATCAGTATTTCTCTGGCAAACCCATTTCTAAGACTTTGCAATGTTGCTAAAAATTATGTATGTATATTCGATCCTGGAATAATATGTAAATGGCCTGAATTAGTGCGTAAAGAAACCCCAATACTTCAATTGGAACAAAACCTAAAATGTAATTCAAAATAGATTATACGAACCCAATTTGGGAATTCAATATTATAAAGTGTTTCTTATTTGTATGTAATTTAATTATTGTTAATAGACATTGGGTTGCAAAAATATTATCAATAATGGGTTTGTATTTAAATGTAATGATTTTGTTGTTTAATATGGCACTATTTTGTTTAATCAATCTTAATAATTAATATTCACACATTGCGATATTGATCTTATAAGTTTGTCTAGCATTACCAATCATAACAAAATAGTGAGATAAATATATATATATATATATATATATAAATAAAAAAAAAGAGGAACAATAACAATTCAGTGTGGGTTTATAAAAATAATTTCAAATTAGTGATAAACTTTATGAAAATCAATAATTAAACTCTTAAACTTTTCTATAAATTTGTAATTATCTTGTGTAAACACCACTGAATTGTAATTTCCCCTATAAAAAATTTGTAAGTGGCAACAGTATCTCGGTACTATTTATATGTTTTTGGTACATTTGGTGCAGAATGAGGGACTGAGGCCGATAAGAACCCACATACACCACCTCTAGATGATGAAGTAAAACTTTCAAACACTTTGAAAACTTATTGTTTATGAAAAATTGTCCTTTAGAACGCTTTCCGAACTGGTTAACATACTAAAATGCTCAAACGGCATCAGATGTCAACGAAACTTGACACACGACTAACTAGGCATGAATGCTTGTAGGAAAAGATGGGACTCAAAATCGATTCTTGGTTTTGAATCTAGAGCCTAATTTTATTTTGTGAAAACTTGTCCTTTAGAAACTCTTTTTCTGAACCAGTTAACACACTAAAATATTCATACGACATTGGATGTCAACGAAACTTAACATACGACTAACTAGGCATAAATGACTTGTAGGAAAAAAATGGGACACAAAACTGATTCCTAGTTTTGAATCTAGAGTCTAATTTTCGTTTGTGAAAACTTGTCCTTTAGAAACTCCTTTTCCGAATCGATTGACACACTAAAATGCTCAAACGACGTCGAATGTTATCGAAACTTGACGCACACAACTAAGTAGGCACAAATGACTTGTAGGAAAATAGAGGACTCAAAATCGACTCCCAATTTTGAATCTAGAGCCTAATTTCCATTTGTAAAAACTTGTCCTTTAGAACATCTTTTTTTCGAACAGATTGACACACTACAATGCTCAAACGGCGTCGGATGTCAACGAAACTTGACACACACGGCTAACTAGGTACAAATGACTTATAAGAAAAGGCAGGATTGGAAACTGATTCTTGATTTTGAATCTGGAGCCTAATTCCTGTTTGTGAAAACTTATCCTTTAGAAACTCTTCTAAATCGGTTTACACACTAAAATGCTCAAACGACGTCGAATGTTATCGAAACTTGACGCACACAACTAACTAGGCACAAATGACTTGTAGGAAAAGATGGGACTCGAAACCAATTCCCAATTTTGAATCTAGAGCCTAATTCGGCCTCTTGACTTTGATTGTTTGTTCTTTATTTTGTGTCACCTATATTGCCTTTTTGTTGTTGTTAATCTCACATCTATTTAATGTCTACTAGCACGAACTACTAGGGGTTGTGTCTGTGTTTAAACACAATTGTTTGGTTAGATTTCTTATTTTGTGTTTATTCAATTATTGTTAGACTATAGCAGAATGTATTCAATCAATACCTGGTTTTAATAGTATTATCATCATTGTAGGATGTAATTAAAGTTTCTTTAGATAGTTCACATATACTAATAGTCCAATTGGCGAAGGGACTTCTTATTAGTGATGATCCGTTGTGTGAAATTGATGGAGTTTCAATTGGGCCCGAATATTGCAAAGTCATTCTCTTAAAAGCAAAAAAACTGAATGCTTGTTTGGAAACACCATCCTGAGGTCTAAGAACAGTTGAAAAAGCTGTTGGAAGATACATTGTATCACACTCGATTCGTATTTATGTTACAATCTTATTTATTTATTGAAATAACTATCAAATATTTTATATTTTTTGTAAGTTTGAAATTAATTATATTGTAAATATATATATATATATATATATATATATATTTTGTACAGATGCTACCCTTTTGAGTACGTGATGATATCTTCGCATATCAATATTGGAGCTTACTGTTGATACTAAAACAAACTATAATATATATGTTTTTTTATTTGTACTGTCGATACTTTTGTTTTGTTTTAGATACAAACTTGAGTTGTTGAATTATAAAAAATTATTAGTATTGTTGGAAGATGTTATGTATATTTTTGTAAAAAAATGTTTGGTTGACACTATATTGTTACAGGGTACATATATATTATTATTCGTATCTATGAATTTGTGAATGTAGATGTGGATATGGATGTATTTTATTTTAAAAAATATTAGTATTTTGTACAGGGAATGAATTAATAAAATATATATTTATTTTATGAAAATAATTTTTTTTGACAGTAATAAACCGTCGCTAATGTAATCATCATTTCCTTGCATTTTATTAGCGATTGGTTAACCTGTCGCATATACATATTAGTTCAATTTATTTAGAGATGGTTTTAATTCTATTTTTACAACGTTTTAGATTGTCGCTAATAATACTTTTAGTGACGTCAACAATTGTCTCTAATTTTTATTTTTTATTTTTTATTTTTTATTTTTATTTTTTGACAGCATCCTAAACCCTTGCTAAAAGTGATGTTTTTCCCATTTTTTTGTATTAAGTTAAACCGTCGCATAAAACATTGATTTGTTGTCACTACAAGAAAGCGACGGTTTGCAACCATCGCAAACACCTTTTGTCAAGCCCCCATCTGCCACCCCTCATTTCTCGTCACGACTCCGTCACAAAAAATCTTTTGTGATGGCATGTGGAGCTTTGTGAAGTTCGAGACCGTCTCAAAAGGTCTTATTTTTAGTTGTGTTGTATTCGTTTTCATCACCCGTGTGCTAATAGATGAGAGGAAAACATATGCTATCCGTATTGATCAATTTCGTATGCTTGTTAGCCCCGATGTAGTAACTATTGAAACTATTAACATAGATGAATTGTGATAACATTTTAGTGTGTTTTATAGACGTTTGTAATGACAAATTTGAAGATATTTGTATTGACAAATTTTATTAATGTTTTTATAGATATTTGTACACTTCATGTTTTTATGGAGGCTTGATGTTTTAAGGAAAGTGAATATGTAAATGTGCGACAACAAATGGCTAGACAAATCTAGTTTGTTTGGCAATATGACATCGAAATAATCCAAATTGTTTAGCAATGTATAACCGAACAAGTCCATCATAAATTTTGGGAAAAAAAATGTTGTTTTAAGAAAAGTGAATCTGTAAACGTGCGACAACAGATAATTGGACAAATATAGTTTGTTCAGTAAC